AGGTGCTAAGGAATCCAAAAGCAAACACAAAAACCAGGATCCTTGAGAGTGTCATCCCATGTTAGAATGTGGGTCTAGCAGAAAGATATGCAGATCAGAGGCCATGGATTTTAATTCATTATTTCCTTAGTAACAACTGTGTTTGTTCACTCACAAATATTTATTGAATTCCTGTGTTAGGTGGTAGGAATATTAGGCAGTTAGACAGCCCTGATGTCAAGAAGCTTACAATGAAGGAAATAGACATTAAAGAATCACACAAATAAATGTCTCATCCCAAACTGTAATAATACACAAATATGTAACAGCAGACCTGACCTCATTACCCATCACAACTACAAATAATAATTGGGAAACTTGCAAATATAGCTAGGAGATGTGTCGATTGGCAAGAGCCTCAAAGGGCTGAGTCTGTGTGATTTCCCTAAGCAGGAAGTACACAGCTGGGCTCCAACTTCACCTGTCTTGGTCCTCATGGTAAAGTGAGCATGACAACAACAGTGCTTGGTTTAGAGAGAGAGTGCATGGAAAGCCCTTAGTACAATGCCTAGCTGGCTCAGGTCTGGTTCTCCAGGAACAGAGCATGAGACCGGGTGGCGTGCAGGAGGTGCATGGGGAGTGCACAGAGGAGTGGAGGAAGTAGGAGGGAGAAAACTTGGGCTGCAATGCAGCCTCAACAAAGGCCTCAGGTGAACACACAGGGAGCAGCTCTGAAGCTGAGACAGACTTTCTGAATTGCCCAACCTTGAGGCAAGGGTTTTTGTACACCAAATTATCCATTGGATACAGGCTACCCAGGTGAGGGGGTTTGACCTTGGTGAGGCAGCCTCCCTTAGTCAAGGCAATTCTTAGGAACTCCACCAACAAGCCTCACCAACTGTACTTCCAGCATCTGGAAGGAGACATCTGGAAGGACAAATACCTCAGTCTTAAAGAGGAGGCCCACCCAGGTGATACATCATGACATCCGCTACATCAGCATTTAATGTAAACCATTAAAGCCCTTATAGCAGCTGCTCAAAATTTCCCAAACCTGCTGAGGACTTACGGCTTCCTCATCGTCAAAGTATAACTTCCTAAAGGTTACAAGCAGAACTGTGATGCAAATATACATGAGAATAGGTCAAAAATGTGCTGAATTCGTTAAGGAGCAGGATGACAAAACTGGATCGGGGGAGGATATGGGGATTGCTTGGTGGGCACATGGATGTAGGTATACACACAGCACCACAGGACATACGTTTAGTGGCGAAACAAATGCTGGGATGAGATCACAAAGTTAAATACAAAACTGTTCAGTGCCCTGCAGGAACAAAGAGACATAACCTTTAGAGTTAGCTTTTCTGTAAAGACAAAAGTCATCTGCAACTTTCTGTCTACAGGTAAATAACTCGAGCCCGGGTCCTAGTCCAAGCACATGGTCTGTCATACAAAGCTACATCCCGAGACTCAGCGGTCCTTGGGCTGCTCAGGTGTTAGCAGGTCTTTGAAAGGGCATACAGTTATCTTTTGGCCTTATTTCCATGTTCTGGATAATTTCTTACCATCAGTGAACACTGAACACCCCATACCAGCTGTCACTGCACAGGAGTGACCCCTGAGAACCCTTCCGAAGGTCAGGTCCCCTGAGCAAATGAAATTTATTCTTTCCTTCCGGTGGTACCAGTAAGATTCTGTTTGTTCTAAAACAACCTTTGCATCCCACCCTGGGGACCACATTCATTCCAACAAGCTCTCCATACGTCTACTGTGCGTGACCTAGCCCCTTCTTAGCTATCACTTCTTTGTTGACAATTTTCTGGTCGTTTCAAAGATGAGCATACACAAGCTGTTAGGAAAATGTGATTAAAAGACAAGTACAGTCAACAGAGGGCTGTTGGTTCTAATTTGAAGAAATTATTTTACACAAAGGTTCAATTCCTTGGAACTCTATTCCTTGTGTTTTGCATTTCCTGAGATAAGGGGACATGGGGAAAACCTGCCTTAATACTATCTTAGAAGTCCAGAAGGCTGGTCACTTTAGACTTTTTTCCCTAACATCAATCATCCCTCAAAGCCAATTGGAAGGATCAAACTTTGGCATTTCCTAACTGCTTCATAGAAGCTTCTCTCTTATTTACTGCACAGCTGAAGGGAGGGGTGGGGAGTGAAGTCTCTAGGTGTCACATCTGAAGCCTACCGGCTCCCTCTGCCTTTTGCAAGGTGACTCTCAGGCTCTGGGCTGCAGCAAGGGTGATTTCTTTCCACCGTGTGTGGAGTGCCCACTGTCTTGGACCCCGACCTGGATCTTAGGGTCAAAAAAGAAAAATATTTCCCTCCTGGTTAACATGGGCCATCTGTCCCGAAAACAAGAACAAGTAGAGCCATTCCACACCCACTAGATCTGATGGTCACTGTTAAAGGCAGGTATGTCTTCAAGGGTTCAGAATTTTCAGAGCATTTTGTTTCACCCACTCCATGTTTCTCTTCAACTTAGAAGGCCCACACTGGGCATCTGAGTCCGTGTCAGGCATTTGATCCAATATTTATGCACAGAGAATGTGGAACAACACAAAACAGCCTACATAAATCAGGTTACATAAACACCACATTAATCTGGCCTGTTAGGACAGGAAGATGGGGAAGTGATTGGTTCAGGGAATACTATTTCAAATCCCATGTTCTTGCTTCTAGGTACAGTGGGAACATGAACTAATAATACAACCAAGCTCTGCTGCTTTGAGTGAATGGATGGATAAGACACGCTTACAAAAGCACACTCGAATGAAAATTAGATAGTGGTGATGGTTGCACAACTTTGTGAATGAATCAAAGATGGAGTTGTACAAAAGGGGGATACTTTTTATAGTATGTGAATGATATCTCAGTAGTTGTTTTTTTTTTTTTTAAGCACACTCAGAACTAGGATTCCCCATGTGGGTCCTGGCCCTTCTCAGCTGTAAACACCTGCTCTAGCAAAAGAGCTTCAGCTGCTCTCAGGGGCAGAAGAACCTGTCAACTCCCCTGGAGGTACCAAAGCAGGGGCCTGGAGTCAACCCCAGCTCTGTCAAGTTCTAGTTCTCTGTCCTCAAGGAAGTAACCCTCTCCTACCTACCTCATAACTTGGAGAAGTCTTAGGACCACCTCACGTACAGCAGGAACTGAGAATGTATTGCTCTTCAGGTACATTCCTGCAGAAGGAACTTAAACCATGGCAAGTAGAGGCCACTGCTTCTCACCTCTTGAGATCACGGCGGGGCATCTGTTCAAGATCTTTAGAGGCTCGTCCCAAGCCTTATGCCTAAATTTTCCCCTGAATTAAACCTTGAACCAAACCTGGTACCCAACCTTGGGCCCTGATCCTGTCTTTATAATTTACTCATTGACTTCTGGGCCCTTATTCACATCCCACCAGAGATCTTAAACTCAGTTGACCCTCAGGAGACATTAAACCAAATGCTCTCTTTCCACAGGAAGAAATAATCCATCCCTGCGCCATCATACATTATATTCTTATGTCTCTTGGGTATGTCACTGATGTCTATTTTCGATTTCAAAATCTATTTATCAGACTATGCTGTTTTAGTTATGGAAGTTTTATCATAATATTTAGCTATTTGTTCAGGGAAATTCTCCCTTTTAAAAGCTCATTTTTAAAAGCTTCTTAGCTTTGTGTTTACTTTCTTACATGTACTGTATAAAGAAATTCCATTAACTGGGACTTGATTTAATTTATAAATACTGCACAAATGTGAGGGCTACCTACTATTAGTCTACTTCACACACACAGTTTTCCCACCTGGGCACATGACATGTCTTTCCATTCACATCTAATGTCCCCCAATCAAGTTTTAGATATAGCTTGTTATTTCCAGGAATTTTCTGAGTTTTCTTTGCATCAATTTCCTATTAATTGTTAATGTGTAAGGAAACTACTTATTTTTCTTTAGTAGTTGGCTCACCTGTGAAAATATTGTAAGAGTTTTTCACTTGTTTCTCTTTGTGTCTGCCCCACCCCCAAACACTATCTGTAAAGGCTTCTCTTTTCCATTTCTAAGCATTCTCACTCTACTTTCTCACATAATTGTGTTTCTTGAACAATACTGAAGAGTGGGGATGGAGATCACTCTGTGTTGTGCCCCAAAGTAATGGGTAATGTGCCCCAATGCACCTCTAGAAACAAAATAGTTCTTTACATTTGCTTTCCAAATTTAGTTTACAAAGCATTTGACTAGTAGAAAACCTGTACATACTAAGAAAAATTTAGAATGTTCATAAAATAAAAATTGCTCTTAGGAGTGACTGGCCACCACCACGACCTGTGGCCAAGGCTCAAGATGACAGAAGCTACTTGTAATGCCACTGTCAAAGACCAGCATAGGGAAAGAGAATGTCCACTCCTGTGCACTCAACAGAGGTTTTGTCAGCAGAGCTGAGGTGGGCTGCATTGACTGGATCCCTGGCTTCAGAGACGGCAGCCTAGAAAGTTATCATGAGGGTTCCAACATTCCCATTCCAGTTCTGCCCTCCTGGCTCTTGGTCTTGGCTGGTACTGTCTCCCAGGCTATATAGACAAGCCGTGAATCAGATACAAAAAAAAAAAAAAAAAAAGCTGGTCTGGGTTTTAGCTTACTGGAAAATAAGGGTCACCATACCCATTATAATTCTGTTTAAATGCCAGATTGCTATGTGGAATGTTTTTGTGGATTACACTAAGGTTAACCGCATCTTAGCTAGCTAGAATTGCCTACATCAGTGGTATGCAAGTACAGCAACTTTATTGTACCTAGAAGTTCATCATGTCCTGGGGACAGCTCATCACTTAAGCTTATTTCCACAGTTGGCTGCACTTGGAACTGACAACAGAGAAATTTTAATGAGTTTGACAAGGAAAGGACACCAACACAGGATTTTTGGTTTTTCCCCACATAGGTTTTTAAAAATGTGATTTGGTTTCAGAACATTTCTTCACTGAGCCTACAGAAACAAACAAAACACTAGCAAGCCATCAGACTCTTCAATGAAAATGTATTTCACGTTAAACACAACATACACATCATGCAAATGAGGCATCACCATGGTCACAATGGTGCTGTGAGGTACAACAGATCACAACAAAACAGACATTTAGCAAAATAAAGCTGTAAGAAAGATGGTGAGGCATTTTTTGAAAGTCAGACCATGCTATCATTTTCTGTGTGCTTGTCATAAAAGGGATTTTCCCCTGATATGCATCAAGATCAATGGCACTGCATTACTGGAGGCATGTATTTTATTTAATATATACACATACACAAACATACACAGTTTCCATAACTAATAAAGTCTTAAACTGTAGCTGGTTTTAAAAGCACATGAACAAGATTACTATTGAGACTTCTTTTTATCTCCTGGTTGCAAACCTCAGTCAAAATTATGGATCTTTCCAAACGCTTTATCGTACAAGTCAAAAAAAAGTTTCAAAGAAGGTCATTTTAATTTGAAAGTCACATTTCACCACAAGAAATAAAATTAAGAAAACACATTATTATGTGTCTTGAAAATGTGCATGAAACACGTGGAGTATACATTCTAGTGTCATTTGTCCCCCGCTCAGATGTTTTTATGTTGAAGTCAAAGTGATATACTGGGTCCAGTTCAGGGCCCCCTTGTTCCAGAGCACTATCATTTTCACTTGTGCCTGCTTCATCAGAGTTGAGCAAACACAGGAGCAAACAAACAAGGGCCCCAAGATCCAAGAGAAAAGCAATAGCAACAACATGAAAACCAACCACCTGTGCATGAGACACACAATTCATTCAAACTTCCTTCGGTCCAAAAGCCACTCAATGGCTTGGAGATTTTTTAAGGTGCAACAATGACAAGATCCTTGCTAGACTGAGGTGCCCACGTCTATAAGAAAATGCATAAGTGAACAGAAATCATTCCGCAGTGCTTGTTTCCATAATCAACCAGACTTATTCTGTTAGGTCCCCAAGGAGTAATGTGGGGCAACACATTTTACAGGTGGCTAAGCTTAATATATTTAAAAAAAGCTTCTTGATAGTAACTTCCAACAAAGAAACCCCAGAGAAGGGGGAAAACCCTCTGGAATTTCTTCTAAACACAGACAAGGAGATAAGCAGCTCAAGTTCAGTATATATGTTTAAGTAGAGTCTGGGTTAATGTCTAGAATATTTATAGGAAAAGACATCTACATGTTTATGTACTCCAACTTTGGGAATAAGAACAGTTATAAGGTGAATTTCCAACACAGAATCACCTGGGCTATTCAGGGGATCACTATGATAATAAAGTAGTACAGGAAGTGCTTTATCAGCAGCTGAAGCTCATGAATAGAACTGTAACATGAAACTTTGCTAAAGCCCAACAAGGCCAATGTTTCAAGGTTTCTATCAAGAGTGGCCAGTGTTTGACATACTAACTAGGAATATACAGTTACATTTTGATCTAGTAATTTGGAATCCAGGGATTTAGGACAACAGAAGCTTCTTCAGAGGACCAGCAGCTTGGATTTGACTACCAGCAGCTTCATGGGTTCTCCAAACACCACCTGTGTCAATTCAAAAACAAAACCACGTGAAATCAATGAAGAGACCACATTGTACCTATTCTCTCTCACTAAAATGATCACACTCTCTGGGACTTTCTACCTTCTTGGTAATTATATTTTCCTTGGCTCATAAAGTATGTTTCAACTGAGGTGCTACAGCATTTTGGGTAGGACTATTCCATTAAGTGGCCAAATTCTCTTTGGGTGGGACTGTCCTAAAACCTGCAGGATGCTTAATGTCCCGAACTCTGCTTTCTAAATGGCAGTGCTGCCCCCCAGCCATTAGGACAACAAAAACCCCCCAACACATTTTAAGATTTCAGAAGACAACTTATTTAAGAAGCCAAATGCAGTCAAAACAAACAACTAACAAAACACATGCTTATATATGTTTATTTCTATCCCATTCTTTTTAAAGTTTTTCAGTTAACATACAGTGTACTGTTAGTTTCAGGTGTACAATATAGTGATTCAACACTTCCTTATATCACCCTGTGCTCATCAGCACGAGGGCCCTCTTTCATCCCCATCATCTGTCTCACCCATCCCCCCCACCCACCTCCCTTCTGGTAACCATCAGTTTGTTCTCTAGAGTTCAGAGTCTGTTTCGATAGCATGAAGGACATTAGGAGAAGGAAGGGAAAAATGAAGGAGGGGGGAATCGGAGGGGGAGACGAACCATGAGAGACTATGGACTCTGAGAAACAAACTGAGGGTTCTAGAGGGGAGGGGGGTGGGGGGATGGGTTAGCCTGGTGATGGGTATTGAAGGCACGTACTGAAGGGAGCACTGGGTGTTATACACAAACAATGAATCATAGAACACTGCATCAAAAACTAATGATGTAATGTATGGGGATTAACATAACATAATAAAAAATAGAGTCTGTTTCTTGGTTTGCCTCTTTTTTTTCCCCCTTTTGCTCATTTGTCATGTTTCTCAAATTCCACATATGAATGAAATCATATGGTATTTGTCTTTCTCTTGCTGGCTTATTTCACTTAGCATAATACTCTCTAGGGACATGGTTTATTCCAAAAATTACCTGCCATGCATTCCCTTTCATGTGTGAAAGGGCCACAACTTCTTTCCCAAGAGTCAAGAGAAGAGATGCACTATCTACAGCCGAAAGCTGAGCACAGGAAGATGTACACAAAATACAGTGACCTTGGTCGTGTGGCCTCCCCAACCTGTTTCCTCATTTGATTTTACTTAAGTAATTTCTGCACCCAACATGGGGCTCAAACTCCCTGAGATCAAGAGTCTTATGCTCCGGGCGCCTGGGTGGCTCAGTTGGTTAAGCGACTGCCTTCGGCTCAGGTCATGATCCTGGAGTCCCAGGATCGAGTCCCGCATCGGGCTCCCTGCTCGGCAGGGAGTCTGCTTCTCCCTCTGACCCTCCCCCCTCTCATGTGCTCTCTCTCTCATTCTCGCTCTCTCAAATAAATAAATCTTTAAAAAAATAAAAAAAGAGTCTCATGCTCCTCCGACTGACCCAGGCAGGTGCCCCAAAATAGACTTTAATATTCTTTTTAGTAGGCTCTATGCCCAACATGGGGCTTGAACTCACAACCCCATGATCAAGAGCTGCATGCTCTACTCACTGTGCCAGCCAGGAACCCCATGTTTCCTCATTTGAGAAACAGAAAGGTTGGACTATATCATATCAGGCATTGAAGTTGTGTTATAGGAGTGGAGCATAAGAGACATTTAACTCTAGGAAACAAACTGAGGGTTGCTGGAAGGGAGGTGGGTGGGGGACTGGGGTAACTGGGGGATGGGCATTAAGGAGGGCACGTGATGTAATGAGCACTGGGTGTTATATGCAAATGATGAATTACTGAACTCCACCTCTGAAACTAATGATATATATGTTAATTAGTTGAATTTAAATAAAATAAAAATTTTAAAAAAGAAAGTGAGAGTGTGCTGAGAATATAAAAATGTTTTGAAGAGGGGCGCCTGGGTGGCTCAGTCATTAAGCGTCTGCCTCCCTGCTCAACGGGAAGCCTGCTTCTCCCTCTCCCACTCCCCCTGCTTGTGTTCCTGCTGTCGCTCTCTCTCTATGTCAAATAAATAAATAAAATCTTTTTTTTTTTTAAAGATTTTATTTATTTATTTGACAGAGAGAGACACAGAGAGCAGGACCACAAGCAGGGGGAGTGGGAGAGGGAGAAACAGGCTTCCCGTGGAGCAGGGAGCCTGATGTGGGGCTCGATCCCAGGACCCTGGGATCATGACCTGAGCCGAAGGCAGACGCTTAACGACTGAGCCACCCAGGCGCCCCAATAAAATCTTTTAAAAAAATGTTTTGAAGGGTCTAAAGTGGGAGGACAATTGGAATTAAGTTATGAAAGGATTTGATGATAGATTCTAATTATGTTTTCATCATCAAAAACAAATAAGGCCCAAACTGAAGTAAATCCAATGTGAGGTATGTATAACTAAGTCACACAAATGCAGAGTGTTTATAACCCATTTTGGCGATAAAAAAGGCCAAAGGCGGGGAACAAAAGCTTTGGGACACAAACTTCAGTTCTCCATTCCTCCACTCCCTCAGGTGTGATCCAAGAATAAATGTTTGCTTTAAAAGATGGGTCAATAGAACAGCAAATCATTTGGCCCAATGCTCATCACTATATATAAATGACTGTAGATAGAACGTGGAATGTCACTGAGTAAAACTAGGGGAGACATTCATTTTATTAATACCACCCTGTGGGGCGCCTGGGTGGCTCAGTCGGTTAAGCATCTGTCTTCGGCTCAGGTCATGATCCCAGGGTCCTGGGATCGAGCCCCACATCAGGCTCCTTGCTCAGCAGGGAGCCTGCTTCTTTCCTGCCTGCTGCTTCCCCTGCTTGTGCTTGCTCTCTCCCTCTCTCCCCTTCTCTCTGTCAAATAAATAAAAAATCTAAAACAAAACAAAACAAAACCCACCTTGCACCACTATTACAGCATTCTCTCTTTGCCTCTAAAAATGGTGCTACTGCAGACAGATGGCTGGTCAAACTTTAAGCAGTGCTTCTCAACACACACACCCATCCACAAACCCCAAACAGCAGGGGGCGGGCACGGTGGAGTGTGGCAGTGAAGGCTCTCATACAAAGGATTTACTTGAAATCCATCTCGATTACTGTGTATGTGTTGCAGGTTTTCCCCCCATCTGAAAGAACCTTCCTATGAAACCTTCTGTAATGGCATAAGGTGAAGAAGCAATTACCACTAACTTACATGAAAAAATTTTTGAGCATTTCCAGGCTCAAAAATAACCTCTTAGGCTTTTCTGACACTTTAGGACACATCTTGCCAATGGATGTGCCAAATAAATGGAGATAAAGCACAGATGCTCACAGACAGTGCAAAGCTATGGCAGCTGAATTGAGTGCAGTTCTCAGGAAGGAGCTTGGCAGAGCTACTCTCACTACTCTCAAGCTTCTGTAACAGCTGGCTCCAAGATGAACACTGAATACTATTTTCACATTTAGTCTTTTTTTTTTTGTAAGAGTGAAACCCTCTTTGGATTACTTTCAGTTAATATAAACAGATACTAATGTAGGTCTTTTGTAAACTACATTTGGCCTAGTGCAGAACTTTTGAAAAACGTGTGACACCCGTATTCATGTTCACGTTTGTACTTTTCAAATAAAACTGACCATCCAAGAGACTGAGTGATGTTTATCCCACCTTCACAAACCCCAGTTGGAGAGGTATAAATTTAGACTATAATCAAAAGACTGTACTATACCTTTCATTAAAGAGATGTATTTGTCAACAGAAGGTGTTCAGAGTATTTTCTTGGCCAGGACTGTTAAATCCTTCAATCAGGTTTTTGTTACAATCATCCAGGCTGAGATTTTCACTGGATCGCTTAGGGTACATGGGGGGGCCGGTGAAATCTAAGAGATCTTGAAGTGCTCGGGCATTACCAGTTCCATTTTGGTCCAGAGACACCCCAGGAATCATTTCACTTACTGGTGAAAATTCTGGGATGGAGATAAGCTCTTCCTTTGAAACAGGACTGGAATGTGGGGAGGGGAAGGGAAGGAGAGAGGTAGAGAGAGAGAAAGAGGCAAAAATTAATTCTATTTGCAATATTTGGTTATATTACTCTTCTAGAGAAGATGCATTTAAAGCCAGAGCTGGTGTGAAACATACTACACAAAATACAAGTTAGTTCAACTCTGAGACACTGATAGACACAAGGCCCCCATGGAGGAGAACAAGGGAAGTGGACTGAGCAGGGCTGTGAAGGCCAAGTTCACACTGTCCACAGGAAGAAAGAAAATAAAAACCAAAGGCACCAGCAGTGCAGAGAAGCCAACCACTTCCAAAACCTTCAAAATGGGAAAACCAAATAGAAAGCAAATGCTAGAAGTTAAAACTGAGCTGAGGAAGGGCCCTAGTCAGCACTGGGGCTCCTGGTGCCACTTTTCTTTTGCAGTGCCACTTTGGACGAGCTGCTTTTTCTCCCCTGGCTTCAGTTTCTTCTGCTGTACAATGGGGTGAATAATCATTTCTCCCTACCAGGGCTCCTCTGAGCGTGATGTGATCATACCTAGGAAGTCTGTGTAGAGCCACCTGCAGTAAGTGTTCAGTTTAGATGGGAGCCATTTTTTTTTTTTTTTAAAGATTTTACTTATTTATTTGACAGAGAGAGACACAGCGAGAGAGGGAACACAAGCAGGGGGAGTGGGAGAGGGAGAAGCAGGCTTCCCGTGGCTGTCCGTAGAATTTGCTCTACTGGTGACGGGGTGCTGAACCCTGGGTTTTTACATATCTGGCTCAAGGCCAGGATGCACAAGCTGGGATATTTACAATCACTGTGCCCTAGGAAATACCCTCCTCCCCAGACGAAGCTGAGAATTCACAGCCAAGGAGAGAAGGGTAAGCTCTGGCCAGCTGGAGCTCTGACAGAACTTTTGCAAAACACTGTCACTGCCTCCAGACTCAGACTGCTGCCCCCACTCAACTGCCCTGCCCAAGGCTCTCTCTTTCCAGTGTTTCTGCCCCAACCACATGCTGAGTTCTCCTTTTGATTGGGATTAATTTGCCAGGTGATATCATCTACAAACACACTAGTTTAAGAATTCCTTAAGATTTTAGCACCTGAGAGCAAATTAGATTCCTTATCAAGTCCCCAATGACAAGTTTATTTAACATAAGACACTGGATACAGTGAGTCCTGTTGGTGTTCCACTCAGATCCCCTTTGGCTATAGGTGCAGCCATCTTCCAGCTGCAGAGAGAGCAGGCTGCTAATAGCTCATAGCTGCCACCCTTTCTCTGAACAACTGCCTTTGGCTGACAGGAGCCCTATGCCCACAGTAGTTAAACCTGCATCCCCCACCTTGGGTGACCACCCTCAATGACTGATGGATACAGTGGCACAAAGGCTGCCTCCCTTAATCTGACCACTCTCTGGTAGAAATTCATCCTCCAGAGCTCCCATAGGATCAGCTGAAATAATCCTTGCTTAGTGACTTCCCCTGCCCCATCCTGCTTCCCATCCTCCACTTGCTCCAGAGAACTCTTTCCCTATAAATCCCATGCCTTAGAATACCTATCCCAGGTTCTACTTCTTTTTTTAATATTTATTTATTTGAGAGAGAGAGAGCACGTGCACATGGCACACGCACATACACACACACGCACGTATGCATGCACAAGTCGTGGAGAGGCAGAGGGCGAGAATCTTCAAGCAGACTCCCTGCTGAGCACAGAGCCGGACATGGGGCTCAATTCCATGACCCATGAGATCATGAACTGAGCCGAAACCAAGAGTTGGACGCTCAACCCACTGAGCCACCCAGGCACCCCTCCCAGGCTCTACTTCTAAGGAACCGACCTAAGACACTAATAAACCACTGATAGCTTTCCAATGCCAATGGAACCTACTTTAGTTGATTCAGGTGTATAAAAGATGAAAAAAATCAATGAAGAGGCAGTGGAGGTGTCTGAAGAAGAGATGAGGCTCATATGCAAAATAAATCAACTTACCTCACATCCATAGACTGAACCTCTTCAGTTGAATCATCCAGACTGTTTGATTTCCCATCAAGGGTGTCCAGATGAACAAGTCCCCCAACTGGTTTAAGCCCATTAGAGAAAATGTCTCGAGGAAAAGTTTCTGGGGCAGTACGCCCCATACCATTAACTTCCTGGCAAGTGTTTAATCCATTTATTTCTGATTGAGAAGACAAAATCATTCTGTTAACCATAAAATATCCAGAACAATGAAATAACAGAGGAAATATATATTGAGGCAATTAATTTAATCCTCTGCTTTACCAACAGTGCAACATCTTTTGCAAAAAACAAAAAAACAAAAAAACCCCCACAAAACCCATGTCATCACCTTCACACAGGGAAAAGAAGACTAATGACATCATCAGTGTCTGTGCAGGGCTCCTGACCCACCCAGGAGGCTTGGGGTCTTATACTGTGCAGGTCCCCAGGCTCTGTATAGCGTTTTCTTGAGCCCCAAGGCAAAGGAGAGATGTAGAGTGCCTCTGAGATGGACACGCCCTTCTGACTTTGGTTGCCATGATATATTCACATCTAAGGAGTTTTAAATATACTCGAGAGAGAAGAGCTGGACTGCCTGGAAGTCTGGAAGATAGGAGAAACCACTGTAGAATAGCAGAGTCAGTTCTGAATTGAACCTGACCAGCTGTCTCCCTAGAAAGTAGCATGGGCCAGGAGGTGGCCAGCTTTCTGTGCTGGGACTCTTAGAGTACCACTTTCTGAATGGAGCTGACAGACATGTGGTAGAGATGGGAGACTCCACCAGAAGGGAAAACACACAGTCCCCTTCCAGCAGTAATGCTCTTAAGACCCACGGGTGTTTGTCCCCTGCAGGAAGTGTTATGAGCCTGTACCTGCTGAAAGGAAGAACCCGAGAACCAGTTCTCACACTCACCTATTTTGTTCAGGACAGCTGGTTTTGTCTCTTTTTCTACACACACAGCAGACTGAAGCTCCACCTTTGGGTCTTCTTTCTGAAAACAAATACAGGGAAAGATGACTTTACACAGAAAGACAAGTGCTTCTGAAAAGCATCAAAGGATATTTGGAACTGTGCTGAGCCATCTGCCTGTTCCATGGTAATTCTTGGAATCTTTTGAGTTTATTACAAATCAGCTGTGTTTCCCTTATTAATATGTCACCATTTTCTGTTTTTTTTTTTTAAAGATTTTATTTATTTATTTGACAGAGAGAGACACGGAGAGAGAGGGAACACAAGCAGGGGGAGTGGGAGAGGGAGAAGCAGACTTCCCTGGAGCAGGGAGCCCGATGCGGGGCTTGATACCAGGACCCTGGGACCATGACCCGAGCCGAAGGCAGACGCTTAATGACTGAGCCACCCAGGCGCCCCACCATTTTCTGTTTTATTCAGGGACTACTGTGCCTCTCTCTGCATCCCTACCCCTACTTCTCGGAGGAAATTTTTCATTATCACCCTGTCTCTGAAACTCCTCTTAGACTTCTCTTCCCTTCCAGGTACGTACAGCCTCCTTAATCTAGTCAGGAACAAAGTAGGAAGAATTCAGTTTTTCTGGCTGTTCCTCTCCAAGACCTACAATTCCATTGAATATACTGTGCCATTCTTTTCTCCTCAGTCCATAAACTGCTAAAATGACACTCTGAACACCTACCTTCACTTCTAGAGACACATCACTCTTCCTTGTTCTCTTCATGATTTCATCAATTCTCTGGAAACCAAAAAGAATCAGGTAAGAGGACTATAATACCAAATACATATAAAAGCAGCTGGGTCTATATGCAAATTCATATGTCAGAAAACTTATAAAAGAGAAGCATTAGCAGAGGATAATGAGTACAGAAAGGTTTTCCATTGGTTTTGCAGATATACACCTCTGCCCTATGAACAAGGTCAAATGCTTGAGAAGTGAACTAGTATCTAGAATCAACAGTTTAGATCCCATCTTTTTCCTTCCTCTCTGTAGGTTACCTAAAAATCAACAAATCACCACTTGCCATTCTAGAGGACCACCCTAGAGGAAGTGAAGCTGAGGTGCAGGTCAGGAGGGGAGGCCAGAGATTGGTCTCCTAGCTCTCAGGCCTAAAGTAGTACAAAGCCTGGGCTGGATCTAGGACACCTCGGGAATGGAACTTTATCATCAGCCTCCTTAAACCCAACTTTATCCCTAATCACGTTAAATGTAAATGGACGAAACACTCCAATGAAAAGACAAAGACTGTGAAATTGGATTAAAATAACAAGCCCTAACTATATGCTGTTTACAAGAGACATACTTATATGGACACACATAGGTTCAAACTAAAAGGATGGAAAAATATTTACCATGTAGACACTAACCATAAAAAGTCTGACAAAGTGGACTTTAAGACAATTATTACTGGAGATAAACATATATTAGTGATAAAGGGGTCAATTCAACATGAAAATTTAATAATCTGAAATATGTATTCACCTAACAGCAGAGCTTCAAAAACATAAAACAAAAGAAATGGATAAATCCATAATCACAAATAGAGCTTTTAACACTCTTCTCTCAGTTACTAATAGAACAAGATGACAGAAAACCAATGGAGATACAGAAGATTTGAACAGCACTACCAACAAACTTGACCTAATTAGATAATTTTAAGATCACTCTACCCAAAAACTACAGAACAGAACTAGATTCATTTCCTGTTCTTGCCTCACCTTAACTCCTCCTGATCCTTAGCTCTTACCTTCTTCCTCTCCAGTCGCTCCTGCTCAATCTGCAGCATAATCTGTTCTCTTTCTAGACGCATCTGTTTAGCTGCCTCCTGGGCCTTTGCTTCTGCGGCTTCCTTCTGACAGAGACAGGAAAACCAAGGCACAGACTTTACTAAGCTGAGAAAACAGTGTAGTGGGATTCCTTGGGATATGCACATGTCCTTCCACTTTATCATCTACCTCAAAGTGGATTTTGTTTCAATATTCAGTGTGGATTTACACAGCCTGCTCTATGACACAGCAGACATGGCCAGGCCTCACCCATATACCCTCAGTCCACCATGCAAATTACCTGCAGATCGTTCCCATACTGCCTGCCAAAATCTTTCTGTGCCTGAGGGCAGTTTCTAGCCATGTGCATCTGGCCAAGAGTTTCAGAAACTTTTGTTTTTTTCTTTTCAAGATTTTATGTATTTATTAGAGAGAGCATGCATGCACAAATGCAAGTGGCGGGGTGGGGGGGGCAAAGGGGGAGGGAGACAAAAAGGTAAAGAATCCCAAGCAGACTCCACACTGAGCATGGAGACTGATGTGGGGCTCGATCCCATGAGCACAAGACCACAACTGGAGCCGGAATCAAGAGTTGGATGCCCAAACAAATGAGCCACCCAGGCACCCCAGGAGTTTCAGAAACTTAATTCCCCAAGTAATGACCTACAACCATGATAGGCAGGAGTTCACAGATAAATAATCCAGTTTCCTCACCCCTCAGAGGGACAATTCTAAGGCATACTGCACAGTCTCTTAGAGAATCCAAAGGGACTAACTCCCAGTGGTCCACAATAAGCTACTAATCATAATCAGTTCACTTATATGGGATTTCCTCTCACTTCCCTACCAGCTTCCTGGGATCTTATCCCAAATAAACTATCGGCACCCAAATTCTCATCCTAGGGTCTACATGTTGGGGAATGTGAACTGACATACTGCAAACACTATAAACTTCACTTTTATTGCCCAAAGTAACTCATACTTAATAACCAGCCCAGTTAAAGAAAAAGCTTCAAGTAAATATTATGAGTCATTCAAATTTAATTCATTTTACCTAATATTAACTAAAGCCCATAAAGAGAGTCCATATGAAGACTCATACAGTACCTGCTTTTCAATCATGACTTTTTCTTGCTTTTCTTTTTCTTGCTTTTCTTTTTCTTGTTTTTCCTTTTCTTGCTCTTCTTTTAATAACAGCTCCTCCTTGGCCTTTCTCTTAGCTTCCTCTTCTGCCTTTCTTTTTTCTTCCTCTTCCTGCCGCTTCTTTTTCTCTTCCTGCTTACGGGCTTCCTCTTCTAGGCGAAGTCTTTCCTCCTCTGCCTTTCTTTTCAATTCCTCTCTCTCCAGCCTTTTGAGAACATAACTGTTATTAGGAGATGATGACATTCTCAAAAGGCAAAGTGCCAAAGAACTGTGTGTTGACAGGGAGCGTAAGGTACAACACAGTCACAGATATGTGCACTTGAATTAGTATCCACTCAAGAAAATGACTCATCCTTCCCAGAAAGCCACTTCAGTCTATACATTTACCAAGATTCTGTTAAGACAAAGAGTAATGATGTACTGACTTGTGAACATACCGTAATGAAGACACAAATGTTCCCTAGTCAACCTACAAATGACCACAGCCCCATCATTCTTACTTAATGACAATTCTTTTAAAAACTAAGTGAAATAAATATTTAAAACTAATTGGAGCTGAAACCCCCCCCCCCAAGTGTCTCGATGGCTACAACAGTGCCAGTCAGCAATTTAAGAGCAGAGACTATGAGCTCAAAAAGTTCACTTTGGGTTCCAATTGCTACGTGACTTCTGAAGCAGCAAGTGGAAGAAAATGCTCAACAGAACCCTTATATTTAATATAGAAATTAAAACATCTATTTCTCATTTGTTTTACCAATCTTTAAAAATCTCTTTTAGCTTTGGGTGCCTGGGTGGCTCAGTCAGTTAAGCATCCGACTCGTGATTTCAGCCCAGGTCATGATCTCAGGATTGTGAGATTGAGCCCCACACTAAGCGGGGAGTCTGCTCACAATTCTCTCTCACCCTCTCCCTCCGCCCCTCTCCCCATTCATGCTCTCTAAAATAAGTAAATAAATCTTTAAAAAAAAAATGAAGCGTTAAAAAATCTCTTTTATCTTTTATTCTTTGCTATATGAAAATTAAATGACATTTAGAAAATTTTCACCCACAGATGAATGGTTGATAATAGAATGATAAAGAGCTCTAAGCAGTGAGGGAAAACCCTATAAAGTCTAACTGCTTGTTTTTACATTTCTAACATTCTTCCCGTTCACAAGTGTGTCACTTTCCTAATCCATAAAAAAATGTAAGTAATCGTACTCATCTTACAGTACGTTACTGAACGGCAACGTGACATACGGGCAAGACTGCACCTGAGGCACCTGGGTGGCTCAGTTCATGATCCCAGGGTCCTGGGATCGAGCCCTGCGTCAGGCTCCCTCCCTGCTCTGCGGAAAATCTGCTTCTCCCTCTGCCCCTCCCCAGGCTCGTGGTCTCTCTCTCTCAAATAAATAAATAAATTGTTAAAAAAAAAAAAAAAAGATTCTCTCTCTCCCTCCCCCTCTGCCCCAGATCAGGACTTAAAAAGAATATCCTCCTATCTTGCAGGAACTGTGGAGGCGATTAGCCTATGTATCACCAAAGAAATATTTTAAAAGATAAAGAAATACTGAAAGACATTAGCCCAATACTAATAGTGCACAATATATTCTACATTAGCAAAAGTTGTAGTGCCTAAAAGCAGTGCTGGAACAACTAAAATTATTAACAAACATTCTGGACAACTCTGGAGAAGAGCATTACAGGGCCTAATCAGAAAGAAACTCCAGTTCTTAGATTCCTCAATGAAAGACCAAGTATGTCTAACACAAGAGTATCAAAATGGGTGTGTCAACAACAAAACTTATCCAAAGATTAATTCAGAGCACTGTTTTAGTTCTTATCCCTCATTTGATGAGACGGTTTGACTGTCCCCAAGAAGTTAATACACAAACAGTACACTGTATATGAATTAATGCACAAGCTACTTCATCTTTATCTTAATCTTCAGGATCTGAAAAGCCATTCTGTTTCTTCTGTTTTACCATGAGGACTTCAGAGGTGCCCAATGCATGCATGCACACGCACGTGTGCGCGCGCACACACACACACACACACACAGAGTAAGTGACACATCCTCTTGGCCCCTAAGTCTCCCTAATCCTCACCATCATGTATAACACACATTCCTCCCCACAGGCGCATTAGCCCTTGCTTGTCCCTCCTGTTACAGACAAAATACCCTCCATTAACCATAGTGTGCTTCTCCCAAAGTAGGTGAAAACTAGGTTCTTATGTGAAGCTGAGTCCCTCAGTATCCTCTGCAAGGACAAACATTCTTTCTCTACCTGCTTAAGAAACCAGAGAACATGGATTTCGTCATTTCTCCAATGTCCTGCTGCTGCAGGCTGCCCCACCCCCTTGCCCTTGCCATCTTCACCAAGTTCCCTCTGGAGTTCACAAGACATGTGCAGTTCTATCACTCCTCTGTCTTAATTCCTGTCATCTACTCCAAACCTATCCCTCTTCCTTACCAGGTAGAAAGTACCAAAAAACTATGCACCATGGTCATCATTCAGGATTTAGCATATGCATCCCTTATCCCTGTCAATAGCCACAGGTGAGGGTCTTTGTGTAATGACCCCCATCTCTCATCCTCCAGCTCATGGCCCCTCTTGAACTTGCATCACATCCCTGACACATGCTTAGCCTTGAACTACTAAATCTGTGAACAAGGTGTGGGTTTCACGATTCTCTCTCCCTTGTGTGTTTAAAAGTTTTCATTAAAAAAAAAAAAAAAAAAAAAGCTTAATCTTCAACATCCTGAACTTGCACTTCTTTGATCTGTTCTCACCCCATCCTTCAGCACCTTCTCTCCTAACCTGCTCTGGACATGGTGAATTTGAGATGCATATGGGACACACTCAGATGAAAGCATAAGGCAGCTGGGATATGGCCTCTAGGTTCTAGACCAGTGCTATCCAAGAGAACTTTCTGTGATGAGGGAAATGTTCTAGAGATTTGTGCTATCCAATATGGTAGCTGCTAGCCATGTAGCTATTGACCACTAGAAATGCAGGAACTGAATTTTACTTAATTTTAGTGCATTTGCATTTTGGTAGCTGCATGGGAATAGAGGCTATGGTAGTGGACAGCACAGCCCTAGCAAGAGACTGGGCCACAGGCACAGAGTCAGAGGTCACCAGTGTGCATGTGTTATTTACTGCCTCCCTTGTACCAGGAAGTACTGAAGGTTTTCAAAACAAGAAATTAGCTTCAGAAACAGATGGTAAATGAGGCAAAGGGAAAATGAGGATAGAAGGGGAGATGGGAGCAGAGTTGCTTTAGCACATCAAATGCTCAACATGAAACCGTTGTGTGAAATGTGGGCCCCAAATCTTTTGAAGCCAGAGGAAAATTGCCGAACAGGAGGGAGCACCACTGCTCACGGAGGGCTTGTCAGGTGAAGCTGGCCAAGGACTGAGGGTTGAGTCCAGGCAACATGTGAGGGGATACTGGGTGGACAGAAGAGACCGAGAAGGAGAGGCCAAAGAAGCAAGGGCAAGCCTGACAAGGTCAAAGTCAACAAAGAAATGGATTAGGAGTCTGGCAATTAGGAGGAATGTGAGTGTGAAGTATGAATATGAGCTGAAGAAATAAAGACAGCAAGTACAATCAATCCTTTTAGGGGCTGGGCTGTGTGGGAAGTGTAAGAGAGAGGGTGATTGTTAGAAGGTAAAGAACTTCACCTTCCTAAGCATATAGCCACAATCATGTTACCTACCTGCTTAGAACCTGTAATCACCAAGGCCTGTCATCTGAGGTCCTGTGATTCATCTTTACCTCCTGTGACCTCTCTTCACACATCCTATGGCCCCCTCAAACCAGCCCAAACACACCACTCAACAAAAAGATGTGTCACTGTTGACCAGAAGGCTGGAGGTGGGAAAATCATCAGAAAAGTACAGAATTTGAAGAAGTGATAATTAAGACCTACTGCCCAGCCTTAAAAAATAAATAAATAAATAAATCAGCAAACCTGTAATTAGAGACCACAAAGGACTTGCCAAGGTCACTTAAGGATCAAGGCTATTCTATTATTTATCACTCGAAATTCAGTACCAGTCTTGAAGTGCTGCAGCATGGCTTGCTTTCTGTCAAGTTAATTCTCTCAACATATTGGGCTGCACCGTGTGATTACCCTGAAAGTTTCCTTATCAATTTAATGATAAAATCTACCTTCTCCTTCAACGTGTTCTGAATACAAAGATCAGAAAAGGCAGAACTGTCTGTACTTTGACCAAAGTGCCCTGGTACTAACAACACAATGATTCTCACACTTTGGTGAGCTATTGAAACAGGGTAAGGCCTAGGACTGTGTATTTTCACTGCACTCCCCGGATGGTTCCAACACCTCCCTCCCATATTTAAGGACCACTACTATGATGTCCTCTGTTGTGCTCCAGGAATGGAGTCCCTCTACCTTGTTGCTTGTGGACAATGACATCAGCTTCCACCCCACTTAGGGGCCTTTGGGCAACCTTCCTCCCTCTCACCTGGGGGTGCAAGTTAGGATAATTTAAGGAAAAAACATGATTTGGGAAGCAGAATCAAGATCTCTACCTCTGGAACCTCCTATCTTCAGGGAGAATCTCATTCCATGAACAAAGCTAAAAAAAACTCCCTTGATAGCTCTATGAGGCCTCGCTGGTCCTAGAGTCTAAGGGGAGAATGGGAAGCCATTGGTAACATTTAGATCCAGGAGCTATGAGTTTCCAGGTAGTCTTAAAAGGGCAATGTTCCATTGCTATTAATTATATCTAGTAGAAGACGCAGTCTCCTGAACACCTGCCATGCAGACCTGTACTTCTGCCCAGTTTTTATCAATAGTCAAACCCTAGAAAGAAAGGTGAGTTGCTCTTTCTATCACAGCCTTTTACACGAGATGGCACTGAAATGCTGAGCAGCCCCATACCTGTCCTGTTCTTCCTTCTCCAGCCGTTCCTGCTCCTCCTGCTCCTTCTGTAGCCGGGCCTGTCGTCTCTTTTCAGCCAGGATCTTCGCAGCCTCTCCTGCATCAGTGGTGCCTGCTGTAGGCTTCCCTGAGGCTGCATCAGAGGAAAAGATCATGGGAAATGAAATACTGATTGCAATCACAAGGGTAGCTGCCACTTGGAAACAAAAAAGTCCAACTCAGTGGGTGATGGGAAATGCTACTGGGATGAGCACAATTAGCCACTGAGCAGAGAAGTTGCAATGGGACAGCTGTGACCCTGTGACCATATTTCCCAGTGGAGGGTAGTGGAAAGGTGGGGAGGAGAGACAGGGTGGATAGCATGATCCACAGGAGCCACCACCGCAGTGCCCATCTGGGTGAACTCACTGCATCTAGTGGAAAAGCTTGAAGGACTAAAGGAAGACCTTCTCTGTGGGAAGTGCTGATGCTGGCTGGAAGCAGCTCAACACCCCCATAAGCTACCATGACCAGTGTCAGTCCCTCCTCCAGGAGACATAGGAGACCAAGGAGAAGGATTCAGGGGCAACGCGCAAGCCTGAGAAAACAGCGTAAGGGCATAAAGTTGTCCCAGGGAAAAATCTCCTTCCCTCTCTCCCTCCCACCCCCACACATGAGACTCCAACATGGATCCGGGCAGAGAGAGAACCAGCTTATAAATCCAAGCCCTGGGGCAGCATCGACAAGAAGGGCTTACCTCCACTGCTCTCGGCCTTCCCTCCTGTGGCCACATGCTTCTCAGTGACATGCTTGTCCACCACATGTTTCTCTGGGGCTTCCTCTCCACACAGGCCAGCTGCCTGCTGAGCCAGGGCACCTTCCCTTTCCTTATTGCTCTTCTCTTTCTCTGCTTTCCTCTTGGGCGTTTCCTGGCTGGGAAAGATGGGAAAGCGGTACTTCACAGGAGACCCTGGGTATGGCGGCTTCGTATTCTTTGGAGACTGTGGATACGCTTTTGAAGTTGCTCTGGAAAGCCAAAAACGTGCCAGAAGATGATTACTGAGCCTGACCACAGAACCTTCTCTGGGTTCCTAACAGGCTTGGTTCCAAAAATCCATCCAAAAGGATGAACAATTTCATCCTTCAAGAGGAATAAGTGGAACGCTTAGCACACACTCAAAAGTCCTTGAAGTACTATCACCCTAATAGCAATATAGGCATCTATAAGATATCCCTGGTGGAAGGGACAAGATTTTAGGAAGCCCAGCCATGTCCCAACTTCACTGAAGTTTGACTGACAACGTAAGGATAAAGTGTTAGGCACTGTCCTACCTCTTTTCAAATGAATACCAGGGTTGGATCTGGCTTCAGCATATGGCAATGGATGAGCTAGCTCTTTTTTTTTTTTTTTATTGTGGCAAAATACACATAAGACTTACCATCTTAGCCATTCTCTTTCTTAAGATTTTACTTATTTTAGAAAGACAGAGACAGACACAGAAAGGGCAAGGGGCGTGGGGGGGGAGGGGCAGCGGGAGAGGGAGAGAATCTCAAGCAGACTCTGTTCTGAGCATGGAGACTGACATGGGGCTTGTTCCCATGACCCTGAGATCATGACCTGAGCCGAAACCACGAGTTGGGCCATTAAATGACTGAGTCACCCAGGTGCCCTTTAGCCATTAAGTGTACAGTTCAGTGGCATTAAGTACATTCACAATGTGGTGCAACTATTACCACCATCCATCTCCACAGCTCTGTACCTATTAAACACTAACTCCCTATTCCTGCCTCCCTCAGCCCTTGGCAACCACCCTTCTGTTTTCTCTCTGTAGGAATCTGACTACTCCAGGTACCTCACAGAAGTGAAATCATACAGTATATGTCCTTTTGTTTCTGGCTTATTTCACCCAACATAATGCCTTCAAGGTCCTTGGTTCCTTTTTTTTTAATTCACCTTTACTGAAGTATGATTGATATCCAGTTCCTTTTTATATGCCAAGGAGCAAATTCATCCAAGAGGTGGGGAGAAGAGGTGCCCTTTTTTTGAGGTTCTTAAGGTTTAAAAGAATCTCTCCTGCTACTGGAAAGATGTGAAAGCTGAGAACAAGCCTACTGTCACTCAGGGAAATACTGCTTTGTTAAAATGCAGGAGCCTGTCTTATGTTGAAAAAAGGTCCATTATAAGTACACTGGTCTAGGCTTGGCTCCTGGTGCATGCTAGGTGTTGAGGATACAGGTAACAACCTAGCTTCAGAAGCTGATTTTACCCAGAAGGTTGCACAGGGAGGAAACATTTGCAGAGTTCCTTTAGGAAGAAGTAATCTGTACATAAATTGCAAATCGTCACTCTCGATCCTGTAGCAGATTGAACCATATGGAACTGCCAATGTTGAACTGTTTTTGATCTATGAAAACAGCGAGAAAAAAAAATAGCAACTCAACATAATATTAAAGGCTAATTTATCACCATAGGCTTAAGAGTTACCTAATCAGAGGAGGGGGGAAAGATGGCAGAGGAGTAGGGGACCCTATTTCAACTGGTCCCGGAATTGAGCTGGATATCCACCAGACCACTCTGAGCACCCACAAAACCAGCCTGAGATGTAAGAAGATCTGGATCTCTACAAACAGAATGTTGTAGGCGGTTGGTTTTGAGGTACGAAGCGGGGAACCGTGATTCCGAGGGCAGATATCAGAGGATAAACGACAGCGGGAGGAAGCCTGGCCGTGGGGATCCTACACCGCCGGTGAGCGACAGCCTCATGCGCTCTGGACAGGCACAGACTCACAGACCGGTAGTGGCAGGGAAAGGACTCTAGGGCAGCCCCCCCACCCCCGGGCGGAAACCCGGAGTGGCGGGGTTGCGCCTGCGAACTGCAGCCCCCGGACGGAAACCCAGAGCGGCCGCTCAGCGGCGGGGTTGCGCGCGCGAACTGGGAGCGGCTGGTGGTCTTAGAAGCACAAAGGGCAGAGACGTGCCCCAACCTGGAGGCAGGACGGGGAGCGCTGCGAAGGGGCACACAACCCAGGCTGCTGCAGTTTATAGCAGCACGGACAGAAACGGAGACAGTGTGGCCTGGAGAGCTCACTGAAGAACAGACTAAGGTCTCTCTGCTCTGAGGCAGAGGGTTTGAAACAGTCTCTTCGGCTCTGACTCGCGGAAGAGACGCGGAAAGCCACCAGGGAAAGCCACCAGAGAACAAAAGCCCCAAAAACTGATTCCTGCTGAGCCCATCCCCCGCCACAGGGGCGCAGGGCAACTCTGCCCCAACAGGGTTGCCTGAGTAACAGCAAGGCAGGCCCCTCCCGCAGAAGACAGGCTGGGAAAACAAGAGGCCAGCAACCCTAGGGTCCCAAGAAAACAGGTGCATCTTGCTTGGGTTCTGGTCAATAATTCGGACTCTATACATTCCCTCAAACACCCATCAACAGAATGACTAGGAGGAGGAGCCCCTAAAATAGAAAAGACTCAGAGATTATGACTTATGCTGCAGATTTACAAATGGATGCAGATATAACCAAGATGTTGGAGATGGAATTCAGGCTAGCAATTGTGAAGACAATGGCTAGAATGGAGAAATCAATTAATGGAAACATAGAGTCTCTAAGGGCAGAAATAAAAGGTGAATTGGCAGAACTTAAAAATGCTATCAATGAGATCCAATCCAATCTAGATAATCTAACAGCTAGGGTAACTGAGGCAGAAGAGAGAATAAGCGACCTGGAAGACAATATAATAGATAAAAAGGGAAAAGAGGAGGCCAGGGAAAAACAACTCAGAATCCATGAAAATAGAATCAGAGAAATAAGTGACACCATGAAGTGTTCCAATGTCAGAATAATTGGAATCCCGGAGGGAGTGGAGAGAGAGAGAGGACTAGAAGATGTATTTGAGCAAATTGTAGCTAAGAATTTCCCTAATCTGGGGAATGAAACAAACATTCGAGTCCTAGAGGCAGAGAGGACCCCTCCCAAGATCAAGGAAAACAGGCCAACACCCCGGCATATAGTAGTAAAACTTGCAAATCTTAGAACCAAGGAAACCATCTTAAGGGCAGTTAGGGGGAAGAGATTCTTTACGTACAGAGGGAGGAACATCAGAATAACATCAGACCTATCCACAGAGACCCGGCAAGCCAGAAGGGCCTGGCAAGACATATTCAGGGTACTAAATGAGAATAACATGCAGCCAAGAATACTTTATCTGGCAAGGCTTTCATTTAGAATGGATGGAGAGATGCAGAGCTTCCACGACTGGCAGAAGCTGAAAGAATATGTAACCACTAAGCCAGCCCTGCAAGAAATATTAAGGGGGGGTTCTATAAAAGGAGAAAGACCCCAAGAGTGATATACAACAGAAATTTACAGGGACAATCTATAAAAACAACGTCTTCACAGGCAACATGATGACAATTAATTCATATCTTTCAATAATCACTCTCAACGTGAATGGCCTAAACGCTCCCATAAAACGGCACAGGGTTGCAGATTGGATAAAAAGACAGGACCCATCCATATGCTGTCTACAAGAGACTCATTTTGAACCTAAGGATACATCCAGACTGAAAGTGAAGGGATGGAGATCCGTCTTCCATGCCAGCGGACCTCAAAAGAAAGCTGGGGTAGCAATTCTTATGTCAGACAAATTAGATTTTAAACTAAAGTCTGTAATAAGAGACACAGAAGGACACTATATCATTCTTGAAGGGTCTATCCAACAAGAAGATCTAACAATTGTAAATATCTATGCCCCCAACATGGGAGCAGCCATCTACATAAGCCAACTGTTAACCAAAATAGAGTCATATTGATAACAATACGTTAATTGTAGGAGACCTCAATAATCCACCCTCAGCAATGGACAGATCATCTAAGCAGAAAATCAACAAGGAAACAAGAGCTTTGAATGATACATTGGACCAGATGGACCTCATAGATATTTACAGAACATTCCACCCTAAAACAACAGAATACTCATTCTTCTCGAGCGCTCATGGAACTTTCTCCAGAATAGACCATATACTGGGTCACAAGTCAGGTCTCAACTGATACCAAAAGACTGAGATTATTCCCTGCATATTCTCAGACCACAATGCTCTAAAACTGGAACTCAATCACAAGAAAAAATCTGGCAGAAATTCAAACACTTGGAAGCTAAAGACCACTCTGCTCAAGAATGTTTGGGTCAACCAGGAAATCAAAGAAGAACTTAAACAATTCATGGAAATCAATGAGAATGAAAACACATCGGTCCAAAACCTATGGGATACTGCAAAGGCGGTCCTAAGGAGGAAATACATAGCCATCCAAGCCTCACTCAAAAAAATAGAAAAATCCCGAATTCACCAACTAACTCTACACCTTAAAGAACTAGAGAAAAAGCAACAAACGATGCCTAAGCCATGCACTAGAAGAGAAATAATTAAAATTAGAGCAGAAATCAATGAATTAGAAACCAGAAACACAGTAGATCAGATCAACGAAACTAGAAGTTGGTTCTTTGAAAGAATTAATAAGATCGATAAACCACTGGCCAGACTTATCCAAAAGAAAAGAGAAAGGACCCAAATTAATAAAATTACGAATGAAAGGGGAGAGATCACAACTAACACCAAGGAAATAGAAACAATTATTAGAAATTATTATCAACCACTATATGCCAATAAACTGAGCAATCTGGATGAAATGGAGGCCTTCCTGGAAACCTATAAGCTGCCAAGACTGAAACAGGAAGAAATTGACAACCTGAATAGGCCAATAACCAGTAACGAGATTGAAGCAGTGATCAAAAACCTCCCAAGAGTCCAGGGCCTGATGGATTCCCTGGGGAATTCTACCAAACATTCAAAGAAGAAATAATACCTATTCTGCGGAAGCTGTTTCAAAAAATAGAAACAGAAGGAAAACCTCCAAACTCATTCTATGAGGCCGGCATTACCTTAATCCCTAAACCAGGCAAAGACCCCATCAAAAAGGAGAATTTCAGACCGATATCCCTGAGGAATATGGATTCCAAAATCCTCAAC